TAATGTTCTTATATTTTTGTTAAGTCCAAATTCGAGTTCCAGATACTGCAAATGAATGAAATGTACGATATTGTAGAATGTATCTTTTTATATATATATATATATATATATATATATATATATATATATATATATATATATATATATATATATAACTGAAAACTCACACCCCAGAAGTGACTCGAACCCATACTCCCAGGAGCAACGCAACTGGTATGTACAAGACGCCTTAATCCACTTGACCATACCATTGTACCACTTGACCATTGTATGTACTTGGCGTCTTGTACATACCAGTTGCGTTGCTCCTGGGAGTATGGGTTCGAGTCACTTCTGGGGTGTGAGTTTTCAGTTGCATATTGTCCTGGGACCATTCAGGCTTGTTCGCATATATATATATATAAACCTAGAAGGGGTACCACCTCTGGTGCAAGTGTAGGGACCCATAGTCTCGGAGAAGAAAATAAAGAGTACTGAGAGAACCTTGTGGATCCTCACTGAACACTGATATTTTCTTCTCCTACCACCCCTATTCTTTTGGTATGTGTGTATATTTATCTAACTTTATTTTAATATGTCATTACACAAAAAAAGTTACAATGTATATATATATATATATATATATATATATATATATATATATATATACCATATATATATATATATATATATATATATATATATATATATATATATATATATATATATACCATATATATATATATATATATATATATATATATATATATATATATATTTCAAAAGAGCATTATCTGGGCTTGAACCTGCGACTTAGTGATCAGTTCTCACAACACTTGTGTCATTTCGCTGATATATTTATGTTTTTGCAGACATATATTATTGTATATGACTGAACACTCCACACACATGTTCATTGAGTTAGGTCGATGATTCCGGCACGAATCTTCTCTGTATCTCTCAGGTGTTCGTTTTCGTAATTAAATATTAACACATTCTTAGTTCCAGGAATGTTTTTTTTATCTCAGCAGCTAAGTCTTCAGAGAACTCGGCTCCAACTGATAATATCCCTGCAGGTCTTCCGCAATTGATATAAAAATAATACTTATTGAAAGCTACATTCTTCAATACGACAAATTTGAAACGCATTTGATTCAAGTTCTCAGTTTAACAAATGATCCAAATATGTGTGTTTTACGAGAAAGGGAGCGAAAGGTAGAGAGAGAGAGAGAAGAGAGAGAGAGAGAGAGAGAGAGAGAAAGAGAGAGAGAGAAAGGAGAACGAAAACGAACAAATATGTATAGAGTGCATTGATATAAGCTGGAAAATATTTGCAAACCGAAGCTACAAAGGAACCCGGAAGGAAAAAAAAAGTTAGGACAACTCAAAGAAAGAGAATAAAACAATTGAAAGACAAAAATCTTTAACATTTCCGAGAGAATTTGAGATTGTTTCCAGGTAAGGAGGAGAGGAAAAGTGTGGGAAGGGAAAAACCTGGTTAAAGAAAGGAGCTCCTAAGGTTACGAGCAGCGAGACGGGATGATGAATTGAACGTGAAATATGACAGACTGAACTGTGAACGAGTTTTACCACCTGTGACTTATGGTAATGAGGGCGTCGCTGGAGACGAAGAAGAGGCACCGGAAGATGAAGATCTTGAAGAGGTAATAAAGAGAGAGAAAGAGGGAGAAGGAACTGTAGACTGTTGACCAGACCACACACTAGAAATTGAAGGGACGACGACGTTTCGTCCTCATCACAATCGACTTGAGAATGGTCCAGGACGGACCGAAACGTCGTCGTCCCTTCAATTTCTAGTGTGTGGTCTGGTCAACATACTTCAGCCACGTTATTGTGACTCATCGCCTGCAACTGTAGACTAATTGACAACAGTAGCTGGCAATATCAACCTGTTCTCACGTAACAAAGGTAGGTAACAACAGAGGAGCAAGCCTAACTGTTACCTGTTACCAAGCGGGTTTTACTGAACCGCCCAATCCGTTACAAATGAGACGTATTAATACACATTAAACGACCATAATATTGACGTTTTTACCATGCGTCGGCCTCGATAGGTTAGCTGGGTTGCTTGGATTGGTACGTTGCCGATTGGGTTGCATAGATATTGCAACATGATACGTGGGGCTTCATACATTATACATCGTGCAACATAATTCACACAACACAATACTAAATAACACATTACAGTATATCACCGTCATACACGACATTCAACACATACAATACTAATGACACAGCGTGTATAATATATTGTATTACGTACCGTGCATTATGCAACACAATTATACATCAAACTAATGAGCCACAGACACGTCAGGATGTATTCATCGTGACATATATTAAATACATGCAACAGGCTGGTAGGGAATATTGTCGAAGTAAACACCATACATAGTTTCAGAAGCCCAATGAATCACAGTTTCAGAAGCCCAATGAATCACAGTTTCAGAAGCCCAATGAATCACAGTTTCAGAAGCTCAATGAATCACAGTTTCAGAAGCCCAATGAATCACAGTTTCAGAAGCCCAATGAATCACAGTTTCAGAAGCCCAATGAATCACAGTTTCAGAAGCCCAATGAATCACAGTTTCAGAAGCTCAATGAATCACAGTTTCAGAAGCCCAATGAATCACAGTTTCAGAAGCCCAATGAATCACAGTTTCAGAAGCCCAATGAATCACAGTTTCAGAAGCCCAATGAATCACAGTTTCAGAAGCCCAATGAATCACAGTTTCAGAAGCCCAATGAATCACAGTTTCAGAAGCCCAATGAATCACAGTTTCAGAAGCCCAATGAATCACAGTTTCAGAAGCCCAATGAATCACAGTTTCAGAAGCCCAATGAATCACAGTTTCAGAAGCCCAATGAATCACAGTTTCAGAAGCCCAATGAATCACAGTTTCAGAAGCCCAATGAATCACAGTTTCAGAAGCTCAATGAATCACAGTTTCAGAAGCCCAATGAATCACAGTTTCAGAAGCCCAATGAATCACAGTTTCAGAAGCCCAATGAATCACAGTTTCAGAAGCCCAATGAATCACAGTTTCAGAAGCCCAATGAATCACAGTTTCAGAAGCCCAATGAATCACAGTTTCAGAAGCCCAATGAATCACAGTTTCAGAAGCCCAATGAATCACAGTTTCAGAAGCTCAATGAATCACAAGGGAAATAAATCATTGCCCTAAACATTCAGAGTCTGAAAGGCGGGTGTTAGGAGCTAAAATTCGACCTGCAAGCACGTCATCAAAGATACAACACAACACATACCCAGAGGGAGGGGAAAAAAGACTCAATAAAATTCAATTGTACAAAAAACAAAACACTCATCAAATATTCAGAGGTAATCAACGAGGCAGCATATGCTTCCTGTTGCGACAAGTATGCTGCTTGTGATATTCTTTGGTGGCCAGAGTATTTCATTATCATTTTATTCCTTACCCAACTCTGGGCTGGTCCTTGGTGTGTGTGTGTGTGTGTGTGTGTGTGTGTGCGTGCGTGTGTGTGTGTGTGTGTGTGTGTGTGTGTGTGTGTGTGTGTGTGTGTGTGTGTGTGTGTGTGTGTGTGAGTTACCTTGGTGTGTTACATCGGGTGGGGTGTGTTACAGTGATTCCTCCTGGGAGTCGTATCACACAGTAAGTCTTGCTAATGTTAAGAGAAAGTCTATTGGCTGCAGATCATTTATGAAGTGTGTTCAGCTTTGTATATTATGTGTTGTTAGGGAAGTCTTTGTCTTGTCCTCGTTTGGAATTGAAATGAGAGAGAGAGAGAGAGAGAGAGAGAGAGAGAGAGAGAGAGAGAGAGAGAGAGAGAGAGAGAGAGAGAGAGAGAGAGAGAGACATTTCATCTTTTTAACCACATCCACACACCCAAAAAAAATTTTGCCAGTTATAGAGTTAACATAGAGCCTCCTCCAGGTCTCTCAGTTAGAGCCACAGGTAGAGGACGCATAACTAAGTTTATTTTCCATCTCTATATACCTGACCGAGGCTGTCAACATTATCATTTAGAGTGAACTCTAGGAAATGGAGGTTCACAGAGAAGCAGGAAAGACCACATTGGGCTCAACACAAAGCAGTAAGCAGGAATTCATGGACGGATATCCGATGGGGGAAGGGGAACGTTATGCCCACTTCTCTCTTTTTGTCTGTTGGTCTCACTCTTTATATGTCTGCCCCGCTCAGTTGCTACCAGTCAGCAGTGTCGTGGGAAACAGAAGCTCTCAGCAGCTCTGCCTAGCGGCTCTCAGGAGCCAGACCCAGCAGCTCTCATAAGCCGAACCCAGCAGCTCTCAGGAGCCATGTCTAGCAGTGCCAAAAAGTGGATCCTTATTGCTTCTAATTTTAATTATTAGCGTATGGAGGATAGCAAGTTCCTCCATAAATGCCTTGTATCAACATTTCACTTCTGGGTTACCAATTAGATTAACTTTTCGGCTCATGCACTATTTTGTTGATAAAGTTTGTATATCATTATCAATGATACATTGGGACGGAGTACGAGAGACGGGTGATTAAGAGTGAATTTTGGCCTCTGAGATTACAGTTGGTGGGGGAAGGGGGGGTTACAGGGGGGGTGGGGGATTACAGGGGGGGTGGGGGGGGGGGAGACGGTTCAGAGACAGTCTCTAGTGTTTACCTGCCTCAACACCTCTAATTAAAAAGATTAATAAGTTACATGTGACTACCTTTTTATTTTTGTTTTCTTCCTATCTTTGCTCCATTGTTTTCTTGTTTTTTGAGTTCTGCTCCTTTCTCCTCCTCCTCCTCCTCGCTGCATTGTATATTACTTTTATTTCTTCTCTATCTTTTGTCTTCTTTTGTTTTCCTTCACCTTGTCATTCGTTAGAGATGAGTCAGTGAGACCTCCTTCAGGTGCGGTCGTAACAGACTACACCCAACAGTTTCCAACACTAGAAAGCCATAAGCCATTTTTCCTGGTTACTTCATACACCTTATAATTGTTCTCGAATGTCTCTCAGTTTACAGCCCCGTGAAGAGAGCATGTTGGTGCCTAGTACCAAGTTCGTGTGTATCCAGGAGTCTCAAGAATCCCTAAATAGGATAAGAGATAGGATAGTAAAACCATACCATGCTAACTGGTGCGTTAGATTCACTATTCCTGAGGCCTGTGGACTGGACCTCTGGATTAGTTTACTATTCCTCCGAACCCGGCATTTCCGGTGCTGTGCTGCGGCAAAGGTAAACCAACAGTCTTTAAACCTGGCTCATACTCTATAAAGTAAACCAAAAAAATCGGATGAATTATACTAATGATATAGTTATTGTCCTTGTATATAAGTCACCGGAGGGAAATCCTCAGCAGTTTAAAGACCAACTAATGAAAATAGAACACTGCTTGGAAAACCTCACAAATCCAGCCCCGAATATCATCCTGTTTGGTGACTTCAACTTACGGCTTTTGAAATGGAAGCATCTGGCTAATACAGTAATACCAGAAAGAATACCAGGAAGTAGCCTAAATGAACAGACACATGCAAATGACCTGCTACGGATGTGCGACAAATTTGCCTTAAATTAGCAAATAGTAGAACCAACTAGGAAGGAGAACACGCTGGACCTCATTTTCACTAATAATGATGAATTGATCAGGAACATAATGATTACAAATACCTGTTACCCAGATCACAACCTTATTGAAGCTCTGACAAGCATGGGGAGTAGACCTGCACTGCCAGTCCCGAGCCCCAGGGCAGGAGAATTAGGCAAATTCAGTTTCAATAATAAACAGATATATATATATGAACATGTATATGAGTGTCCTCGTATGGGCCAACAGGTCCCCCGCAGCCACATCTGTTCTTATGTTTCTGTGTGCAGGTCCCAAACCTGCACACAGAAATAACATCACATGAGACCAGGAGGCATGGCAGGATGTGCAGAATACCCCGGTTGAAAAGCAGAGGTGCAACAGGTACTCTGAGAGAGAACTCTATCAACATCAGAGGCCCGAGACTGTTCAACACGCTTCCATTACACATAAGGGGCATAACTGGCCGACCCCTCACAGTGTTCAAGAGAGAACTTGATAAACACCATCAAAGGATACCTGATCAACCAGGCTGTGACTCATACGTCAGGCTGCGAGCAGCCGCGTCCAACAGCCTGGTTGACCAGTCCAGCAACGAGGAGACCTGGGCGATGACCGGGCCGCGGGGACGCTAAGCCCCGAAACCAACACAAGGTAACCACAAGGTAAGTTAACCGATGAAAACTTGGTATGAATGTATTTACATAATACAGAGCATTATTAATTCATAATATCATTTCCAGATAAATTATTTCTCATGTTAAAAAACAATTTTTTCATTTCATTTAGTAAACTAGATGGCAGCAGTGTCATATTATTTTTGTTAACTGAACTTATTTGTTGTTGTAATATGCAGGAAACTCACTTTCGTTGAGTCGAAAGTTGATTGTTAAAGGTGTTAGTGTTATGTATTGTGTTGACACGTGTGTATAGTGTCGTTGACGTTACATATACTTGTATAGAGATGTGTAAAGAGTAAACCAAATGTTGTCTCAACAGGCCAGGAGAGTTTGGAAAGTTGCAAATAATACTTGCAACATTTTCTCCACTTGGTCTAATTGATTAAGTGTCCATGATGGAAACTAGAATAGGAAGTAATGTGCTCATGGTGGGACTAAAATAGCGCTGATAAGTAAAGTGGAATTGTTTAAGGTGGTCTTTTAAAAGTGTCCACCAGATTACAGGTCCCAGCTCGAGTCGACCTCATCACGGGTCCCAGCTGGTCTCTTCCTCATCACGGGTCCCAGCTGCTGTCTAAATCATCACGGGTCCCAGCTGGTGTCTGACTCATCACGGGTCCCAGCCGGTGTCTAAATCATCACGGGTCCCAGCTGGTGTCTAAATCATCACGAGTCCCAGCTGGAGACTAAATCATCACGGGTCCCAGCTGGTGTCTAAATCATCACGGGTCCCAGCTGGTGTCTAAATCATCACGGGTCCCAGCTGGTGTCTGAATCATGAAGGGTCCCAGCTGGTGTCAATCATCACGGGTCCCAGCTGCTGTCTAAATCATCACGGGTCCCAGCTGCTGTCTAAATCATCACGGGTCCCAGCTGGAGTCTAAATCATCAAGGGTCCCAGCTGGTGTCGACCTATTTAAAAACGGATGCACTGATTTATCAGCACGATAATTATACACGTGGAGTCATTATTGGAGACTGGAATATCGGGAAATTCTCTTATCAGGTCCCCTTCGCCGGGGATTTATCTTGAGAGAAAAATGTTGTTTATCAATAAAGTTATGTTATTTTATATTTTTCTTATCAGACAATTTTTCAGCATCAGGAAATTACTTAAGATGGAGGAAAGGTGCGCTTAAATCTCACCAGTTTCTTGACTGTCAGTGTCACTGGAAATTCTTGTTGAAACATTGTTCTTGTAAAGCACTGAGGGAGCCTTGAATAGTTAAACCCGGCCAGTGGACCCGGCCTGCGGACCCGGCCAGGGGACCCGGCCTGCGGACCCGGCCTGCGGACCCGGCCTGCGGACCCGGCCTGCGGACCCGGCCTGCGGACCCGGCCTGCGGACCCGGCCAGGGGACCCGGCCTGCGGACCCGGCCACCGAACCCGGCCACCGGACCCGGCCAGCCGACACCCGGCCTGCGGTCCCGGCCAGGGACCCGGCCAGGGGACCCGGCCTGCGGACCCGGCCTGCGGACCCGGCCTGCGGACCCGGCCAGGGGACCCGGCCTGCGGACCCGGCCACCGGACCCGGCCACCGGACCCGGCCAGCCGACACGACTATTATACCTGGCCGTTGGAGCCGGCCAGAGGTCCAAGGCAAAAGGAGTAAGTTGAACGATTTTAATAATATTTTTAAGAAACTTTTGAGACAGAATGACCCAATTGGGCACCAGAGTGCCTTGTTGCCTCAAGGTGATCACCGGAGGAGAGAGACAGAAGAATAGCTGAAGAGAGAGAGAGAGAAAGAGAGGGAAACGGAGACTTGAAAGAAGGGGAAAGATAAATATGGAAAGGAAGGGAGAAGAGAGAGCAAGAGAGGGCGGGTGAGATTAACACACTGTATCACAGGTTGGATCACGTTACCAAGAGGGAGAGAGAGAAAGGTGGTCTGATCTTCCATGTGATACCATACACGCAAGGGTCAAGCTTTTTGTGATGACATGCCAGATTATCTCCCGTGTGCGACGAGGACCATTATATTGAGCTCCAGTGCGTAGAGAAGCCCCCTTCCTGCACTCCCTTATGGTGGTTGTGGACTTAAGGAACTACACCGAGTTGGATACAACACAGATATCATTGTGGAACGATTTAGAGAGAGCGTAGTGGAGTTAATGATTTGGAAACGTGATAAGTTCCCGAAATAGAACACTGATTCTTCCTTGAATATTTAAAGTAGCGTGATAACACTATGGAAGAGCGTAACAGTATACAGCTCAACCGTCTAGGGGCCAGATTCACGAAGCAGTTACGCAAGTACTTACGAACGTGTGCATCTTTCCTCAATCTTTGACGGCTTTGTTTACATTTATTATACAGTTTACAAGCGTGAAAACTTGCCAATCAACTGTTGTTATTGTTATAAACAGCCTCCTGGTGCTTCGGAGCTCATTAACTGTTTAATAACTGTAAACAAAGCCACCAAACATTGAGAAAAGATGTACAGGTTTGTAAGTGCTTGCGTAACTGCTTCGTGAATCTGGCCCCAGGACCTGACGATACAAAAAGGAGAACCCGGTGGCCTGATATTTCTTTTTTGACAATATCACAATGCTGAACTACATACAAAGATCACAAACCAACTATGGCATCACAACGCAAACATCTCATGGTTCGACACCCGCCAACGACCCCCTTCTCCCCTTCCCCCCTCCACAACAAACTTGTCGACAAAATAGAGGACACAGGTCGATGGTGTTCCCACGGGAAGCAAGAAATAGAATGAATTTGACAGAGGAGGTCACAAAGGGCAGTTTTCACTCGGGCTCCAGTCAGTAAGAAAACATGATGGATGAATTCTGAGCCTGGTGCTTCCTGCTTGCACCACGCCGCCAGAGTGGCCAGTCAGGTGTGTAACGCGAGCACGGGGGAGGAGAGAGAGAGAGGAGAGCGAGAGAGAGAGAGAGAGATGAGAGAGAGAGAGAGAGAGAGCCGAGGAGAAGAGACAGACACTGAGAGACAGACACCGACAGACAGACAGAACGACAGAAGACAGACAGACAGAGACAGGACAGACGACAGACAGACAGACAGGACAGACAGACAGACAGGACAGACAGACAGACAGAGAGAGGAGAGAGAGAGAGAGAGAGAGAAACAGAGAGAGATAGAGAGATGAGAGACTTGAGAATAAACCATGTAGGTTCGAAACATTGTTGTGTAAGCGTCAGAGAGACAGGGAGGGATATGAAAAGCGCCAAGCCATTACGACTATATAGCACTGGGAAAGGGTCAGATAAGGATTTGGAATGGGACGAGGGGGGAAGGAATGGTGCCTAACCTCTTGGACGATCGGGGATTGAACGCCGACCTGCATGAAGCGAAACCGTCGCTCTACCGTCCACCCCAAGTGGTTGAGAGAGAGAGGAATGGAGGTGGGAGGTATGAGACTATAGATTTAGAGTGTGTGGGAGAGTGAAGAACACACACACAGTACTAGACACAGCAGGCTACACACGACCTTCAGTATACACCAAGGATATGTGATAGGAAAGTTCTTAACTAGGAAAGAAACAGGTAGACAGCGACGTTAAGATAAATGAACAATTATAAGGGAGATGGTGAGATATAAGATGAGAACATTATTGGGATTACTTAAATCATCTAATGTCTGTTGCCACGCGATAAAAGTTTGTTGTTGTTGATGTTTCGTTTGAACATTCCAAATTATCTTTTCCTTCGGTCACTCTTGTGTTCATCCCGACAACGGAATGGCGGGGACACATGACTTAAGGGAGACACATGACTTAAGGGAGACACATGACTTAAGTGAGACACGTAACTTAAGGGAGACACATGACTTTAGGGAGACACGTGACTTAAGGGAGACACATGACTTAAGTGAGACACGTAACTTAAGGGAGACACATGACTTAAGGGAGACACATAACTTTAGGGAGACACATGACTTAAGGGGGACACATGACTTAAGGGAGACACATAACTTTAGGGAGACACATGACTTAAGGGAGACACATGACTTAAGGGGGACACATGACTTTAGGGAGACACATGACTTAAGGGAGACACATGACTTAAGGGAGACACATGACTTAAGGGAGACACATGACTTAAGGGAGACACACATAACTTAAGGGAGACACATGACTTAAGTGAGACACGTAACTTAAGGGAGACACATGACTTTAGGGAGACACATATGACTTAAGAGAGACACATGACTTAAGGGGGACACATGACTTAAGACTTAAATTATACAAATGAATGAAAGGTTTTAACAAATGGAATATTAACAGTAAATATTAACTAAAGAAAAACACGAAAGAATTGAATAAGTTTAAATCTATCAAATATACAGGAAAACAACATGTGAATAGGAGTAGTTGAAAATATATAGGCTATACGTAGAGTGGGTTCTAGGAGCTCTTATTCTACTCTCAAAAGTCCGGCTTCACATGGACCAATAGTTCTATTCCAAATACCTTTATTTGAAAAGAGAACTATCTCTTTTCTACAGCTCTCACTCTCTCTCATCTCTCTCTACTCCTCCTCTCTCCTCTCTCTCCTCTCTCTCTCTCTCTCTCTCTCCTCTCTCTC